CTCAGGAACAGTTCGGGTTCATGCCCGAAAGGTCTACAACGGATGCCATCTTCATCGCAAGGCAAGTGATGGAGAAGTATCGAGAAAAGCGCCGACCCTGCTACCTAGCCTTCCTCGACCTGGAGAAGGCGTTCGACCGGCTACCGCGAGCAGTACTATGGAGAGCGCTCAGGGAACGGAACGTGCCAGAACACCTGATCTCCCTGGTGAAGGATATGTACAACGGCGCTAAGGCAATTTTGCGCACCCCACATAACCTAACAAAGGATTTAGCACTGCCGATCGGGGAAGGGCACCAGCTTTAACCCGTTCCTCTTCTCTTTAACACTTGATGTCATGGTGGCGGGGCTCTTTGAGATATCACTAAAGACCAATAAATGAGGTCATCGCTCTGATAGTGGAAAGCAAAAAAAAACTGAAGCACAAGGGCAGAAATGGCGGTTAAAACTTACAGTAGGCAAGCTACGGCACAATGTCTAGAGACCAGCTCCTGAGTTTTCGGGAGGGCACAGAGCCAATCGTTGATGGTCATGGAGGAACCATCGAAAGAGTGAAAGACTAAGAGAAAAGAAGAAGAAAGAGTGATGTGAAAGATACACTGGGAGCGATCAAGCCGCTGACGGTAGTATGGACTAGGCAGTGAAGATATCAACATGATATGGATGAAAAGGAGGGAGTACACTGGAATACTCGTCGATTGTAGGTCCCAAGAGCGATGGGGTGGAAAGTCTTCATCAAGAACGACCTAACTGAAGTTACGGTACTGGCAGAAGATGACTGAGAGATCAAAGTGTCGATGATGATGAAAGCAATAGGCCCTCCGATTGCGCGGGATCAACGCTAGGGAGAAGAAGAAGTAGTAGAAAGGAAAGGATTTCAAATTAGATTAATAGCGTCATCCATGAATGGTTGCAAGGTTGTTGAACTAATACAAAATTCTATCTTAAAGGAGGATTCCACGAAAAGATAGAAGATCGAAGAAGGGAAAATGTACCTGAAGGAAAGGAAGGCGGTTCCTCTTGAGAGCGCAGAACGATGCATGCTTCGCTGCGGAAGGTATGCCCCAAGCGGCCGAGTAGGGCCGTACCTTCGACTCTCGCGACGTTACGCTCTCTACAACTGGGTACCACCACGCCGTCGGACCCTCCTTCGCCGCGGATACTAGCCATTTAGCAGACAGGCATAGCAGCGCGTTTACGTCATTCAGCAGATTCTTTTGAAATGCGGAAATGAATGGGCTAAAAGGATTGCTATTCCCTCGGGTAGTATACTGTTTCTCTTGGTTTTTTCTTCATCCCTGCAGTACTAACTAGCTCTACCTTGATTTATGATGGACTTTCTTTTCATCGTGAACGCTGCCTTTAGTCCTTGTTCGACGCTCTCTCAGCACTCTTCTTTTCCTCTGCTGCCATTATTTCATTCGGAAAAATATGACATGAGTGTGCGCAATTGGAAAAAACCCGCTTTGGAGATGCAAACCGCTTCCGCGGCCTTACTCGTAGTCCTTGATTACTCCCTACCATCTTTGAATAATCAATAATAACACTAGCTATTATTACTGACGGAATATTGCAAAGACTAGCGTAAAGAAGATTCATTATGTGCTCCGTTCTTTGGAATAATCTTGGATGCCATTTCACCCTTTCTAGTCTGACTCATCTAGTGAACAATTTGCTTACAATGCTCTCTCTCCAATCTATGCACACTCAGCTATAACATACAAGGACGTTTGATGCGGTTCAAAGTGAGACGTATTTAAGAACTCATAATCACTTCAGAGGGCGGAAAGTGGTGCAGTGACAAGTGGCGCGCTCACCACGCGAGCGGTCCGGGATCAAATCCTGGGTCGTGAGTCGCCCGGGCCAACCAAGCCTTCCATCCCTCCGGGGTCGGTTAATTGGTACCAGACTTGTCTGGGAGGATAAAAACACTGACTTGTACATCGGCTGGCCCCCGCAAGTCATTGTATAGGCCACATCGCATTCAAACGCCACTACGAATGTACAAATGGAAGTAGAATGCGTGCCGCATCCCAAAAGGGATTGATCAACGGCAAATGCTTTATCCTTTATCCTTTCATATGCATATAACAGCAAGCGCGTTTTCATCAGCGAATAGCTTCCACTTCCTATTCTCACCTAAAAAATTGTTTCCAAGCTGTTTTTGCGGAACTACTAAATTCAAACCTGAGTTCATTATTCTTCTTTTTGTCCGTGGCAAAAACTCAGCTGATGAACGTGACGTAACATTTCAGGGAAGCAACAGGCTCGCGAATTATTTCACCACGACAACACTTCTATATTTGAAATATCTTATTTCTTTCGCTGTTTGCACGTTCTTAATGGAGTTCCTGAAATGCTTCGTCGGCCGTCTCCGACCCCACTTTCTTGCCGTTTGTCAGCCTGATTGGTCTCGCATGGATTGCACGGACAAGGAATATATTCCTGGTACGGTTTTAGCTCAAATGGTTCTAGTTATTCTTTGGATCGCTGCTTCGCTCATGAATATTTTCTTATCCATCGCTGGATATCGTTGTTTAACTTGAATAATTTCGAATGCGCTAACAGTGTTCAAGTAGTTGGCAGTTAGACTAATCCTGCGTCAGTGTACTAGTACCCTATTCATCAAGCGCAGCAAGCAAATGGAAAATAGTATCTGAGCTGGCGCAAATTTCACCGCAGTACCCCAGCTATTTGAGGTGGATTGGAGGCACTGCTCTGATTCCTCTTTCAGTTTTATACAGTGTGATTTGAAAACCGAGTCCATCTGCTTATACGTTCGCAATAAAAGCACCAGGCTGTTTTTGAGTGGCATTCCATATTTCTAACGTACTAGTGTGCTAAATTAGACTGCAAGGAAACTTTGCTGGCAGCGATGCAGCGAAGTTATACGAATATGCATTCTCCTGTCAAACCATCCCTTCATGAGATGCGCCGCAATTATACTCTATCTCCATTCAGAACTGTAACAACAGTTGAGGGATGCTCAGTCCAGTGACTTGTGGTGGTTCACGCTGCCATATGTGTCTGATACAGTCAACGTCAGGTGTGGAACGATTAGTTGACCGGGGTGTGATTCGAAATTATGTCGAACCCTTGTTGCGGGTGACTAAGAGACTTCGGGTTATGTTGGACCCTTTTAATGTCACCTTGCGGTGGTTCAGTGGAATTATATGCGAGAGAGTACAAAAAGAGAGTTTGAGCTGCAAACTATTTATCGAGCGTGTTCAATACGTGAGGTCGTGAGGGAATCATCGCCAGCTATGCGCAGGCGATGATAGCTTTATAAAAGACATCACTTGCTGTAGCATCAAATGCTCCTTAGATGTCATATAAAGTAATGGAAAAAGTATGTCATTAAATTGTGCAGAAGTGGCAGTGCCATCATAAGATAAAACCACGGGGCCACTGTGGTGAAAGTGTTCTCATTAGTAATGCTTCACAATAGCTACAGCGATAATGCTCCGAATATAAAAGGTGTTTTTAGTGTCAGAAACGTTCTGTACGAATCCTGACACAAGGCGAATTCGTACGGCTAGAACCTCGTTTCCATCAGGGCACACTGCGGCCGCTTTTCACGTTTGGATCTTTCTTGTCATATATTTGTGCAGGTAAATGGACAACTTATAGTTAATCTCACAAAGTGAGTCCAACTTGGCAATGCGGGACAAGTCAATATTTCTAGAATGGCAAGGATCACAGCGATTCCATCTTTATACAAAACTCGCAACATATTGTTAGCGATCTTCACGGGCTGGACTGGATTTACCGCAATAACCAGGATCACTGATTATTGGCATTATCCAAGCGATGTTCTCGGTAAGTTTTTGTTCAGTTTTTCTTCAGTAAAAGCGCGTTTCGGTCGTTGACTGCTAGAGCAAGTGGAGAAAATGGTCAACAGTCATATATGCATATACTCAATTGACCTCTAACCCACGCAACCTCACAGTTTGTCGCTGGTGTTCACTCATTATTCTTTGCTTGTTCTATTATACTTATTTTGTTGGGTTTCCCTATTCGTTCTGGTGTCTTGCTCTCTCTGACCCCGTGGCTCGCTTATTAGTATTCTGAGTTGAAGTTCTTGAGGGACGTCTCTTGGAGTTCTTGAGGGTATTAGCTGTCCGGGACGTTGATCTTACCCCAGGTTTCATGAGGGTTTTGTTTCTCAAATTTCATAAGTGGTTTGTTGAAGGAATTCAGAATCCAGGTGAAACTGTGTGATTGAAACCTTCAATTTGCGATTATATGAACAACTGAATTGGGTTCCTACTTCTGCTGTGGTCTGTTCTTACAAGTATACAATCCCATTCATCCTGGTACATCTTTTGTTGCAGATATAATTAGAAATTTGTACCTTGTGCAGGTGTTTCAACAATTGTAATTCTACACAGATTCATATGTTCTGATGCAGAATCGTTGTTAAACAGCTTGTGATATCTGTTGATGGCAATGCAAGAACACATAATAATAGCTAAATATGTCAACCGAGGCAACACAGTATAATCATGCTTCCACGTCTTGTTTCTCACGTCTAGATATCCATGCAATGAAAACTTGCACCGCATCTCATGCCCTCGTCAAAATTATTGTATTAAGGTGAATTTTACACTCGCAGCATCCAAAGTGTCTTGCCAGTGTGGATGCAATGGAGAACCCCGAAGATTTAACTGGCTTCGTCAGGCTTGAGAACCAGCGCCCCCATTTTCGACTAATAGCGTAGGCTCACTTTTCTTATTAGTAGTGATCATTCCAGATAATCGTCTCATGTTTTTTAAAAAAAAAATTTATCCTTATCTGTCTTTCTTTTTGGATCTGGATATGTTACTCTTCTTCACCGCTACCTTGCTGCTAAATGATTTGAAGCATGAAGCCTTTCAGCATAGGACGGACTTGGCAATTTGCAATAAGACAATAGCAAAAAAGTTTCTAATCATATTATAAAAAAAATATTTGAGGTGGATGACCTTGGATTGTCGCGTATCATTATCATGCGTCGTGAACACTTGAAAAATGTTGTGCGTTTATTGTTGAATGGTTCATATCTTATGATTTTGTATAGATAAACTATAAAAGAGGAACTTCTTGGAAATGAGTTGTAGTAGGGGTCAGTAAGGAATCAGTTTTTTTTTGAGGATTTTGCTTAGGAGGTACCTTTCATTGAAATTGAGGAAATGAGCGTATTTAGCATATTGTTCTCCAATATCAAACCGAATAAAAATTTGGTCACTTCGAAATGGCAATCGTTAAAGGTAGCACTCAAGCTCTATCTAATATGAAAATTATGTCAGAAAAAGAAATGCCTTGCCGGGAACGATTCATTGACTTGAGGGTTTGCTTTCATTTCAGATTCTGACTATTTTAGGTTGCGACGTAGCATAATGCCTGTAGAGAGGAGTTACATCTGAAAGAAGCATGCAAGCATTTTGAAGCTTTATTCAATCGTGTTAAGAAGAAAGAAGAGTTTGTCGACTGGATTCACACCACCTATTGTGAGGGTGAAGACTGCGCTAAACCAATGTTCGTGATTGATTCCATAAGCAAACTGCGTGAGATAGCGGACCACATAAAAGCGAAGGTAATTGTGTTATTTCGGTGTAACTTTTCTCAATCATTCACTGTAGGAATAGTCCTCTTTAGGTACAAACAAAAGCTCTTCCTGGGCTCCCCCAAAAATGGAAAGTTTGGGGCAGGGTTTTCTTTTTACGTGTTATGAAAGAAGATATTGAATTTCGTTTTGGACAGACAGGTTACGGCTCTACTTATTCGCTACAGTATGATCACTCCAATTGGTACTCGCAACATGCTCCTATATGACTGGATGATGTTCGAGCCGCGTTCGACATCACTCAAGCACAAGAACGTCAAACTAAGTCTAGATTTCAGTTTTTGGAATTTTTCCAACATTTGGGAACACTCATTGATGATTCATTTGAGCGATTCCATCAAGGGGTCCAGTCGAAGAATTTCTGGGAAGATCTCATTCCGAGAAGGCGACGTCGTCTTACTTGTAAAGGCATAGATATACGAGTATGAAACCAAGCGAGCATTTGCAAAGTACGCTCATTTGCGCTCGCTAGTCCTGCGCAGAAGCAAAACGACATAGGTTGGGTGCCACTTTCTTACAAATGGACACGTGAGCAAAAGCAAGTACCTAGGCAGACTTTCATATTTGATATCTGTTTGGCACTGAAGCAACAGTACTATTTGTTATTTGAATTATTAGTAACCGTCTGTAGGATAGTTTTATTTCTGCTCGCTTCTAGAGCATGTGTAATGACGGAAGGGACTACATAGGTACACCGTATCGGTGCCGCTGGCAGCTAGGGTCAGATGCCTGTAAGGCTTGTCATTGTGTTTTGCATGAGCAGCCGCTGCTTTTTTGGATCTGTAAGCAGTCTTGATTAGGATCTGTGTAGTAATCTAGCTGTCCAATTTATAACAGCTACAAATGTAATATCAACACCTTGACGTGAGCGTGATCCTTATACGCATCACGCCCATGTTATTAATGTTTCGCGCGTGCGTTTTTTTTTGATTGCGTGCATTTGTGTCATAGTTCGTATCCACCAAAAATAACACGAAAGCATGGCTCGCAGAATACCAGGCCATCTTTAATGCAATTTCAAGCCTCCCGAGACTTCATTAGAATCATTTGTTCATATGGTCATAAACCGTAAAATATCATATCCGTGTCAGAAGCAAATACAGAACGCTGTGGATGGCAAGATATACCAGAACTGCAACAAAAATTTTTTAAGGCTTTTGCGGCTAAAGCAGCAATTTTTGTTTTCCATTGTATAAGGGCGGAAGTGGTGTAGTGGCAAGTGGCGCGCTTACCACGCGAGCGGTCCGGGATCAAATCCTGGGTCGTGAGTCGCCCGGGCCAACCAAGCCTTCCATCCCTCCGGGTCGGTTAATTGGTACCAGACTTGTCTGGGAGGATAAAAACACTGACTTGAACATCGGCTGGCCCCCGCAAGTCATTGTATAGGCCACATCGCATTCAAACGCCACTGCGAATGTACAAATGGAAGTAGAATGCGTGCCGCATCCCAAAAAGGGATTGATCAACGGCAAATGCTTTATCCTTTATCCTTTCCATTGTAATCACTCGTATTTGGTCAAAATCTTGTTACCTCTGAATAATGAAGTCGTAGCCCATATGCCCATATGCTTTGTCTGTGATCGCGATTGAACTGCGTCCATTTTTTCACCGAAATAGATGTAAGAGTGATTCCAAGTCAAGTGATTTGGTCTACCTTTAGATTCCCGACGGATCTGTCCAAACGAGAAATGATATGCCAACATGGCTGATGCAGATTCGCAAAAGAGAAAAAACACATATAGAATATTATAGTTCTAATTAATAGTATTATAATACTGACACTTTCGCGAGCTCGCTCAACCGCCGTTTTGCAGGTTCACGTTGACTGCTTTTTGTATGATGATCATTCAATGCAGGCAATGATTGCTGCAGGAAAGTTGCAACGGTACGTGGAACGCTGATGTCGGTAGTATTGCGTTTGTCAAGAACACGGGAATATGTCTATTGATTATTGTTTAGGAGATTCTGTGTTGACTGTGGTTCCAGAAATATCAAGGATTTAAACTTTATAAGTCACAGCCTAGCGCACTGTCAGGTAGTTTCTCAATTCAACTGTCGCATTCTTGTGTCAGTTATCTCTCCAAATTTTTGAGAGCTGATTCAGTCATTGCTTTAGTGTTAGTCTTGGTAACAGTAATTCGTGATGTTCATCTCAAAGAATTTGTCGATGAACAATTGTGAGCCTAGGATAGCATTTCAGACCAAGAAACGTATAGAAAATGTCGTGGATTTTTCAGCTAGAGTTCATCTTCACCCAGCTTGTTCCTCTGAAATCACAACCGGAAGGATTTCGTGTCTTAGATATCGGTTCTCGTCTAGGAGCAGTCATATATGCAGCCTCCTTGTACGGGTCAGTTTCTCATTGCATGTTACCGATCATATATGGTGTTTATGTAATGAATCCAATAATTACGTGCTTCTCATTTAGTTGCGGAAAGGTATCGGTAACCGGAGTGGAGCTTAATGAGGAGCTGGTTAAGCTTCAAGAGGAGGTGATCAGTAATTTCAACCTGCAGGTAAAACTGATATTACATGTAACGAATTTGACTAAGGCTTTTCTTCGCGCGATATGTAGTGAGGAGTCCGTCGCCCTCGCTGTTGGCAATCCCTCTCATTTTCACAAGGTCTTCAGGCTACCTTAGAAGAAATTTCAAAACTAAACACAGTCGCTCATGAGTCGGAACTGTTTATTGTGGCCGAATCTCTACAAACGTGTTCAGATCCCGTAGATGTTACTTATTTCCGCCATTTCTTCCGTCTCGGAGGTGTTTTGATTGTATCTGATCCATGCGCTCCACCATACCAAACTTGACAAGGCATCTCCTAGGGGTTCTACGAATAGTGCCAAAGTTTAGGACAAGCGGGCTACTCTAATGCAAGCAGTCAGTGTTGATCGCATAGTGAGGATATACAAAAACAACTACTATTTTCAGTGGAGTTATTGATGCGATTTACTCATTTCATTCAATTCAGAACATAGATGTCATCTGTGCAGATGTTCGAACACAGCCGGATCTGATTAGCCGTGCTGATCTTATCATTATGAAC